TAGGGTTAGGTTTAGGGTTAGGTTTAGTTTTACAGCGCGCTTCTGTCGCTGCGCTGTTGTCGCCGCGATTCAGCGCTCACTCGTCGGAGCGCTTTAGAGCACGCGGTTTTGTCACCGCGGTTTAGTCGGGTGCGGTTTTGTCGTTCGCCCTTTTGTCGGTGAACCCCAGGCCCCATCTTCCAGCTGGGTTGGGCCCTGCAGCTGTGTGCCCGGGGTGGAAAAGGGGTGACCCCCGTGTGGCTGGAGGGAAGCCGGAGGTCCCCTATCCCGCTCAGGTCGGGAAGCGGCTCCTTTTCAACTCACAATCAGCAAGGTCACCAGGAGGTTCTTCTTGGCCACCTGGGCGTGGGAGAAGATGCACTCCAGGACGGGGGTCATGTTGGGCATGTGCTGCTCCCTCAGGATGATCACGCACTTGTCGTAATGAGCTGTGGCACAAGGAGCGGAACCCCAAGGAGGAGCCAGTGGCAGAGAAGCTGCTGCTGCCTCCTGGGGGAAGCTCTGCCAGAGGCCCTGGCAGCCCCCTCCCCCCTCGCCCTCCCCCTTACCTTGCTGGAACTGGGTCTCCACCTGCAGGTACCGCCTCAGCAGATCCAGCACCACCGATTTCATGTGGCCTCGGATGCCACTGCGATACCTGGAATCAGGGGGCGAGAGAGGAGATGCACGAGTCACTTGTAGGTCTTGGGAGCAGACGATGGAGAAAGAGGGGGAAGAGGGTCAGGCATGATTCACTGTCGTCACGCAAGACGCTTTGGCCACAATTCTAGCAACAAAGGCAGAAGTTCTGCTCAGCTTTCTTACTGCAGGAGCCCTGGTGAAGAGAGCCCCAATGCAGGGGACTCCATTCCGCTTTAAAAATCACCTTCCGTGCTGCTAAAAATGCTCAGGGCAGACCAGGCCAGGCTGCAGGCAGTAGAAATCAGCTTGGCTGGTGCAACAAAACCAGCCCCCACTACGGCTCAGGGCAGACCAGATGTCCAGGCAGGGAGTGTGGTGGTGTGATTGTCCCCAAAGACACACAAACCCACCTCTGAACCAACTGCACGATACTCTGGGTGTTCATGAAGAAGACTTCCCGGTCAGCTTTGCGTTGCAGGGTGGCTGCGTGGCTGTCCAAAATGCTGGCAATCTGGATGAGAAAGAGGGAACGATCCTTTAGAGCAGTGTTTTTCAACCTTGGCAACTTGAAGATGTCTGGACTTCAACTCCCAGGATTCCCCAGCCAGCATTCGATGGGTGGGGAAGCCTGGGAGGGGGAGGGCAGAAATCTTCAAGTTGCCA